TTCTGATAGTAGAAATTGAAGAAGGGAAAGAGCTGCGTGGTCTTCCGTATCAAACCAGAACCCAGCACCAGAGCCATGATTAAGGTTAAGTGAAGCGGTTCCCACTGATTTTCTCGAGGGAACTCTGGATTCAGTGGCTCCTTTTTGTGCTCCAACTGAGGTCTGATGCAAGATTTATATGCAGTAACTTCACCAGATGCTGGTCAGTCTGAATGGTCAGTGAAATCCAAACAGAAAAAAACAAAGACAACTCACTTACCTTATATTTGAATCTTCCCACGAAGTTTAATTTTCAACACATGCATGTTTACGCCGTTATTGTATAGTACCAAGTTGCAGAGGATTACGTTAATTACTAATTTTTAAACAAACATGCGCCGATTAGCACTCTAACAACCTCTATCATTTGCCACGTAGCTGATTTATTCATTTTAATTAGCTGAGGTGGACCATTAACTCCATCATTTTATCTTAGAAACTTGACTAATTAATTAGACGAGGTAGCGGTCAACCATTGAAAATTATAGGAGGAAAGTGTCATGAAACGCCCTTACTGCAGATCAATAATCTAATAATTGAATGTACAATATATTCAAGAAAAGGGTGTCCAAAGAGCTAGCACTCGTTAAGAATCCGAACTTCGTCAACGGACTGCTTAAAACAAAAACAAAAATGTTCGGGAAAATTAAAAAACAAAGCCTCCAATCTTTTCATTTAAAATAAATAAATAAATAAATTGCAAGTGAAAAACAACCATTATCATTGAAAGTTGCAACGCGCATCAAAGACTAAATTTAAGATCAAATGTTCATAACAATGCTCTATGAGACTTATTACTCAGAGCCAAAAACATTCTTTTTGACAAAAGTTATTAATAATAGCAAGATCAACGAACATTGTCACAGCCTTCTGAAGGTAGTAATTGAAGGAAGCAAAAAGTTGCATGATTAGGGTTTGGTATGCTGTACAGTATTCATAATATTGTGCTGAATTGAATAAATAATTGTTTTATTTTGTGTTTGGTGTATATTGGATGGATTGGATGATCAATCTTGTTTCGTTTTGTGTTTGGTAGGCATTTAAAAAATAGAAACTATTGTAATGACAATAATATTGTTTTCTTGTCTTATCTAACGTTTAAAGTATATATTATAACATATATTGTTTTCTAAATTGAAATTTAAAAAGAAAATACTCATATATAAGGTCAAAGTTAAATATAAATAAAAATTTTATTTTACATTTAACGTGTATTATTATCAAACTTATATATTTTTTAAAAAATAATTAAATATTATTTTTTTCACTTCAGTTTATATTGAGTGTTGAAATTAATAATATTATAATAACTCTAATTATAAAACTCGAAAAGACCTAGCAAGTTCACCCGAGACCTGACAGTCATAGTGTTTGGACCAATTCAAGTTTAAAAAGAAATAGAAAAAGGGTTTATTAGACTTGACCCAATCAACCCGAGATAAAACACGGGTAAAAAATACATTGAATTAATTATTTTGGTCATCATAAGGTTGCTTTGATTCTTTATTAAAAAAAATAGGTCAACTAGAGTTGACCCTTAAACCCATGACCTAAGTGTTGCCTCAAGTAACCATTTTTATCTTTATCTTGACCTGAGTTGACTCTCCTGAATCTGATTTGGATGTTATCATAAAAGTTTTTATTGTTCAGTCTTACGCTATCGAGCATAGTTTTTAACTCGAATGTTGGATCAAGATGAATTTTTTTATAGACATATCTAAACATGTTGTTCTATATTAAGTTACAATTTCAGGTCAATCAGAATTTGATAAATGTTTACTTCAAATAATCAAAATTACTAAATGAATCTTATCAAATATATCTATATGGACCTTCGTCTACTTTTTAGACTACATCTATATCTATATCAAGAATTATTTTAATATTCAATTGGGTTGGAAAATAGATATTTGTAGCTTTTCATCAATATATGGTGGGCTTGTTAATTTATCTGGACAAGAAGTAATAATATTTTTAAAATCAGGACTGAAATCTATCAAAAATGAAATCTATCAAAAATGCACGAGACTTGAAGAAATATTATTACCTTGTGTATTATAGATTCCAATCAATACAATGATTTCTTAATGTTCTTGAAAAAAATATGTGTTAGATATTGTCTTACCTATTCTACAAGTATTTCATGTCTAATAATGAGATATTTGTAGTAACAACTAATTATAAGGCTTCAATATTTATTATGGAATGTATATGATAGCAAACAGAATTAGAATTTTTTTATTGTTTTTTTTCTTATTAAAAATGAAGATTATGAGAGGCTATTTAAAAGATATATTTCAATCACTTTTTTTTTAGAGCATATTTTTTAGCTAAACAATGAAAGAAATTTCAAATACAATAAAAGAATTAATGGATGGCACAAAAGACATTCATTGTTCTACGTTATTTTGAAAAAAATATTGTGTATGCAACTTTTCCGTTCAGTGGATACATTTTTCTTTCTTCTATTTTTTCATCTCAAAGATCAATTTCTTCTTACCAAGAATAAATAATTTTAAAATATTTGTATATGATTAGTACTTAAAAGTGCATTTTTATCATGGTTTTATATCATCATTTTGCACTTGAAGTATCAATAACTCCTTAACCAAAACATGTTTTATAATAATATATCTAATAATACAAGATA